TTTTTTTTCACTTAAAAAATGGACTTAATTTGCTTATTAACATAAAAGTCATTAAAAAGCCAGGGTTAAGAAAACAGAAAGATGTCCCAACTTATATTTAAAGAAAAACATCAAAGTTAATATGCAAAATTAGTATTCAAAATATGCAGAAACATATACTTCCATATTTATGGATGTTTATTTAAATAATTCACATATTAAATAAACATTTAAATAATTCAAATATTTACACTTAACTCCAATAAATTTGACAAATACTATTTTATTTTTTGAGACAGAGTGTCACTCTGTCACTTAGACTGGACTGCAGCGATGTGATCTTGACTCACTGCAACCTCTGCTTCCTGGGTTCAAGTAATTCTCGTGCCTCAGCCTTCCGAGTAGCTGGGATTACAGGTGTGCACCACCACGTCTGGTTAATTTTTGTATTTTAGTAGAGAATGGTTTTCATCATGTTGGCCAGGCTTGTCTAGAGCTCCTGGCTTCATGTGCTCCACCCGCCTCGGCCTCCTAAACTGCTGGGATTACAGGTGTGAGCCAGCATGCCTGGCCCAATAAATACCACTTTAAATGAAACTATAAGAAAACTGAGTAAAATGTAAATATTTATATATAACAAGAAAGAAAGTGTTCTTTCTAAACAATTTGTGCCATGTTTTGGAAAATCGGAGCATTTATCTGGACACAATGATTTGCTTTCCCATAATAATAATAACAACAGTAATAAAAATACTATTTAGTGCATATACATTACACCTCCATCTCAAGATTCTTTTTGGCCTATTTTTCAGGATCCCTCTAAGGATTATTCAGTATTGTCTTCAATGAAATATGCTAACACCTGATGAGAGAGTATTTTTCTTTTATAGCACAGTTAACAACTGTAATTCTTCAACCAGCTGTTCTCTAAGGATTCCCCTGACAAGCTCTTATTTTCATTGCATTATTTCTTTGTTCTCCTTGTCTAAACTGTACACAAGTTACCCAGATTTTCCACTCTGGCCCCTTTCAAAAAAGAATTGCTTTGGCTTGACAAATAATTAGTCCTAACCAGTATCAAAAATAAACATTACAAATTCTACATGCTAAAATTATATTGTTCTATGTGACTTCTAAATTATTTCACAGCTCATATGTAGAACCTTCTTCCCATAAGGCTCCATTGGTTTAAATTCTCATTTATGAAAACAATCCCAGTTACTTTATGGAGTTAGTTACCATCTAAACATTATAGATCATTCTTATAAAACCCCATAATCTTATGTCAGGTGTAGCATGAACTATAACTCTATTTATACTGTGTTTAGGGCAACTGAATCCAGATACTTGAACATATTAAGATATAAGCGTAAATAAAACAAAATTAAACCCTACTTGACTCTTCTCCTTTGTAACCTAGTAAAAAAACTTGTAAATTTTTTTTGTTGTCAAAGATTTATATGTGTACCAATTTAGATCTTGGAATTTCTACTAAAGAAGGTAATTACCACTTCACTGTTAGATACTGTGATATCAAACACAGCAAAGACCATAACAGGCCCAATCAGTTGAAAGCTATGTGGTACCTTCAAAATAAGATATTTTTCTTCATTAGACCTTTGTAGTATACCTTCTTATTGGTATTGAAAGTGTGTATCAAATCTTCACTCAAAACTACTAAGATAACCTTTTTTCATGATATAAATCCTTGAAATGGTTATGTGACTATTGAAATAATACAATCATGGCTGAATATAAAATTCTATATAAAGAGGTATTATTAAAGAAAAAGAATGAGAGATGGTAAGTACCAATAAACAAAAGTGAAAAGAGGTGCTATAAACGAATTACTCAGGTGTGGATTAGTTCATTTCCGAGCCTATGTACACTGGAAGAGTGGCCACTTCTAAGTTGCATTCAGTCTATTATATGTACCATTGCACATGTCCAGTTCTTTGTTTTCATCAAAGGCACATGTAATTCATAGGTAAGGAAAAAAATAAATAAACTGGCAAGGAGAAAAAGCCTGTTTCTAAGTAGGAGAGTATTCTATTCATCGCAAAAGATAAAAGCAGGTATCTCTTATTACATGTTTTTGTTCTCAGAGGAACAAGGCCAAAAATATGTGATTTTCGTACTTGTGCTAACACAGCAGAACTTTTCAAAGTCACTGCCAGAAATGGACCAGCTTTCTTACCTGTTTTTTCCATGCTTTAAGTTACGGATGTCTGCCGCATTATGAACATTGCTGGTTCCCCCAGACTTCTGTAGTCTGGCTTTGCTGTGATTACTGGTCAAAACCTTTAATTACAGTATATAGTTTGTGCAGCTGCCTGGAAATTGGTCTCAGGGTCAGTGGCTCTTCCCGTTCCCCTCTTTCCATTCTTTTGAAGCAATATTGCTGAACTGAAGGCATTGTTCCAGCTTTCTGGTGTGCTCTGTCTGCTGCACATTATGAATAGCTTTGCAATCACTCTAGCAATTGGTTCTTCAACTGCCTTTAGGTTGTCAATTGTAATTCATTGGCTTCAGCCACCTTTTCTCTTTTCATTCTCTTGAGGTCTTTTATTACTTAATTTGCAATAATATTAGGGAATGTCTTCTTCAGACATGTCACTAATGCCTTACTGATTATGAGGCTGGGGGTACATTTGACTTTCATACATTCGCCTGTCAAAATGTTTCAGTATTTCCTTCATCCCTGTGACTTGTGATGCCAATATTTGCAGTGCCTTGCAAAGAAGTTTGCTTAATGCTGAAGTCTTCTCTCTAAAGAATAATCTCAAGACTCCTCCTTAAGATATTCTAATTGGGGTTAATTTATATAATTAGTTATAGTTATTTGTATAACTTCCCAAAGACATAACTTCTCTTTTTTTTATAATAAGAACTAAGATTTCATATTTTCTTCCCATATTATGCTCTATTCTCTTTTTTAATATATAAAAATATAATTTTAAGCTCCACACGACTCAGAGATAGTGAAGTAGAAATCAACGGCTATGTTTTCAGAACCTTTTAAGAAGACCTGTATTTACTCCTCAGACATATTTTTAGAGATTATATAAGAAAACATTAAAACTATTCAAAATGAGTGCCAATGCTTCTGCATTACAAAATCAACAGGAAGTTTTGTTTCTGTTTTTTCAGGGGAAGGAATAAACAAATATATCTCTTGATCTATTAAGAAAAAAAGTAAATCATTTGTGCATTATGTCTCAAATCCTTAGTTCTGGATAAACTCCAACAGATTAACCCTTCTCATTAGTCTCAGCCATCCCAGAGCAACCAAGGGTATTTTGAAGCAGACACTATGTAATAATAATAATGATAATAATTATCATAATGATAATAACTAACGCTTATTGTGCTTTTTATCTTCAAAGCACCTTACTGACATTAACTATGTGTCTATTTTCAAATTAATTTACCTCGACAAATGTTTTATTAACTTTGTAAGCTGTGGAATGTGTACTGACTGAGTCCTCTTTTGCAAATAAAAAAATAAATGAAAGGAACTACAGGACAAGGAAAGGGTACCTTAAACTTTTGCCTCAAATCAGTCACTGTCTTTGTGGAATGAGGATTAATGAAATGCTAATTTTTATAAAATATAATATTAACATACAGATATAAAGTGTGAAGATCACCACTACAACACAAATACATACTACTTCAAAAGGATCAGAAAGTAGCCAAATAATATTGTTTGGATAAAATCAGTCTCTAACTTTACTAGTTATGATTCATTATTATAAAATATTTAAATATGTATACAAAGAAAACGTATTAAATATAAGAATTTTTAAAAATCCTTCTAAGTTTCACTAATGTAATAATAAAAGGCTACTTTGTTTTTATTTGTTTGTTTTTTGAGACAGAGCCATACACTGTCACCCAGGCTAGAATGCAGTTGCGTGATCTCAGCTCACTGCAGTCTGCACCTCCCGAGTTCAAGAATTCTCCTGCCTCAGACTCCCAAGTAGCTGGGACTACAGGGGCGCGCCACCATGCCCAGCTAATTTTTCTATTTTTAGTAGAGACGGGGTTTCACTATGTTAGTCAGGCTGTTCTCAAACTCCTGACCTCAAGTGATTTGCCTGCCTCGGCCTCATTTGTTTTTAATAAATTGAATTCATTACTTTAAAACCATGTCATTATGTTCCCTTTAGAGCTTCATTATGTTACCAGTCTCTATGTGATAAATCTAAACAGGCAAAAATAGATTTTGATGCTAGCTAACAAAATAAGCTCTATAACATAAATATAGGCAATTATTTAAAAATATATTAAAAGAATATTATTTGGTCAATATGTCTTGCCAATTTCTATGAGGGATTTTGGAAAGGGAATAGTACCCTGATATGGTGTTAAACAAAGTCCACAAATAGACAAACGCAAATGTAGAAACATAAAATCAAACATTTGTAAATATGATAATTAACAAGTTGAATCTTTTTAAAACTATGTATTAACATGGTCAGAGTGGTGAGGATTCGAGGAAGATGTGGTTTGTAAGCAATATTAAAAGGTCAGGTTTGGTGTTTCAGGAAAATAAAAATTTTTATATTCAAGGATAAAAATAGATTCATTGGCTTGAGTAAAGAGAGAGTAAGGAAATCTGGATAAAGTTGATGATATGAAGCCAGTAAGAAAGGATGTGTGGTAAGAATCTGAGGTAGTCACTCTTTCAAACAAAATACAGTTATCCCTTGGTATCTTTCGAGGATGGGTTCCAGAACCTCCCATAGATACCAAAATCTGAGATGCACAAATCCCTGATAGCAAACGAAGCAGTATTATCATATAACCTATGCACATCCTCCCATACACTTTAAATCATCTTTAGATTACTTATAATACCTAATAATGTAAATGCTGCTTACATAGTTGTTATACTGTATTATTTAGGGAATATTGACAAATAGACTGTACATGTTGAATTCAGAGAACGGTGCTTTTTCCTGAATATTTTCGATCGGTGGTTGGTTGAATACATGAATGCAAAACTCACAGATATGGAGGGTTGACTGTTTATTGAGCATAGAGACATAAACAAGCCATAATTCCTGCCCTTCAACAAACTTACAACCTTAAGGAGTAGACAGAAAAGTTATAGGCAAAATTCCAATATTACGATTTGGATTAGCCCAGGTTGCCAAGGGAAATCAGATGAGAGAGCCCAACTCAGGCATGGGCATTCAAGAAGACTTCCTGATGTGATACATAATCTTGAGGGGGTTGTATTACTCAATTTTTACACTGCTGATAAAGACATACTCAAGACAGGGAAGAAAGAGAGGTTTAATTGGACTTACAGTTCCACATGGCTGGAGAGGCCTCAGAATCACGGTGGGAGGCGAAAGGCACTTCGTCCATGGTGGTGGCAAGAGAAAAATGAAGAAGGAGCAAAAGCGGAACCCCCTAACAAATCCATCAGATTTCGTGAGACTTACTATCACGAGAATAGCACAGGAAAGACTGGCCCCCATGATTCAATTACCTCCTCCTGAGTCCCTCCCACAACACGTGAGAATTCTAGGAGATACAATTCAAGTCGAGATTTAGACAGGGGCACAGCCAAACCATATCAGGGGTTTCCCTAGTAAATTAGAAATAGTGAGTGGTAGATAAGCATAAGTGAGTGAAGAAAAAGGAATTCAATGCACATTAACATATAAGATCCATGGAATTTCATTCGATTCCAGAAGGAATTAAAAGATTTTTAATATTAGAAGGTTTTAAAATATGGGTATCATGAAAAATTGATAGGAAGTTTGCTTTTTCTGCTCTGTATTGAAAAATAGTGAGAAATGAGGAGCTCCGGGGGTGTAAACTATTAGGAAACTCTGAGAAGCACTGCAGAGGAAGAAGTGGGAGAATGAGACAGTGAAAAGTCTAGTTGTGGAGAATAAAAAAGAGTAAGAATTGAAAGAGGCTTCAAAATGTTCACTTTACATAAAATGAAGATATGTATGTGACTGAAGAAAGGAAGATAGTGGAAAGGAATGAGGGTTTTAAAAGAGAAGATAAAAAAATTCCTTTTATTATTATACATTGTCATATTTTGAGATGTATTACTTTGTTACCCTCACCTAAATAATTTGCTTGATAAAATGGACCTTTCTTACATAATGTATTTATTCATGGAAATTTTGCTTTTGGTGGACAAGGCACATTTTAATCACATTGCTTGGTGGATACAAGAAACACAGGTATACAAAGGAAAAAATAGTGAGATCGAGGTGGCTAGACATAGAATCAAGAAAATCAGGTATACAAAATTAATTTTCTCAAAGAATGCATATAGAAAAAAATGAATGAATGTATAATAAATAAAATATTCTGGCTGTTTTAGTACTTTCAGCTTAAAAGTTACTCTTCAAAATTCACTTAAAATAATGACATTTTTGTACCTAATGAAATGATTGCTAATTCAGAAATATTTACTTCTCTTGAAATAAATATTTTCAAGAGATAGCTGAGTCATTCAGTGGAAAATTGACTTCCAAACCCTCTCATTGTTTCCTCAAGATTTTATTTTAACAGCGTGCAGTACATCTGTAAGGAATGAGCAAAAAACAGTTTGTATCTCTCATATCATTTTAGAATAAGTATATGTCCCATAGGGGAATTTTCAAACTGCTCACACCATAGGTATGTACACTGTTCCATGTGAAATCAAATCAGTATTCTAAAATGCTGCCAAGAGGCAGGTCAAGGCACTTGGAAAACTCTTAAGATTTAAAGTATATGACACTTTCCAATGAGTATTTTACAAACATATTTCTCTACATATACAGAAAGTAGTATTAAATTAAGCTAAGTATTTTACATGATTTAAACACTGCTTTGCATTTTTTAATAAAAGATTTGTCACATGAAGTCAGAGAAGATAGTACTCCATAAAATTACCAAAAAAGAAATGATCTGTTATCAAGCAATATAAATATAAAATAATTTAAAGTATAGTTTATTATCTAGGGACACAGATTGCCCAAGAACTTCAGTCTTTCAAAACTCTGATCCCTCATAGAAAGGAGAAAAAAAAAGTACACAATGGAGAACTAATCACCTATAAATAAATAGTTGTAATTAAACGTGATAGTTAAATACCATAGAAACATACTAGCACCCTCTTCCAGAAGATGTCTAATACTAAAAAGTGAAAATTGAATAAACAAACTATTCATGACACAGAGTAATGAATGCATTGTTCAAAAAAATCTGAATATTTATAACCAAAATAAAACATGGTCTAAAAAACCAGTAATGTTTATATCATCACAAAAATACTTGCAAATACTTTTCTTGCATATTTTGTTTTTCAAACATAACACCAAGGTCGATGCACATCACAATAACAAACTGAATTAAAATTGCATAAAAATTGAGAAATGGCCTGATCACAAATTTTAACTTTAATATTGACACCCTAATTTAGAGGCTGTATTTTCCTGTGTTAATGGGCCCTGGCACCAATAGAGTCATTCAACCTTATAATTCTGCTTCAAAACTCTGTTTCACAGTCTTCCTATTTCTCAGTTAGTATTCACTTTAATAGAAAATATTCAACAAATAGTTAACACTGTACTTTTGATATACTATTTCTGAAAAAGTTAAATACTTTTGGATTAAGGATATAGACAAACATCACATCAGATGACGCTGCTAGAAAATAAAGACTGTTTCATGTTAACAAAACGTGTCCTTTTATAAGACACAACAATGTCCAATAAAATGAAAATAAGATTTTAAAAAACAGGAGGTAAAAGAATCATAATCAGCAACTGTGTAGAAGGAAAATAGGATTATATTTATTGGCTACTATATCAACTTAACTTCTCATAAAATCCTCCTGATCTATTAAATAACTTCAGAACTGAAGTATGCTCTCCTATGGGAGTTGTAAAACAAATTAGATACAATTACAATTCAATACAAATGAGAAACCAACCTATTTACCCTTAAGATTTCTCTCATTTTATAGCTTTATCGCTTAAATTAGATCAGAATTTTCCCTAATGTATCAAGTGGGCCTCTTGACAAAATTATAAATTTTTCTCGAATGCTTTCTATAGAGAAAAATAGTTGATATGAGTAAATTCTGGAAAACTGTGGTAACTACACCTCCCCAAAGTGAATACAACAAACATCTGCTGCAAGAACTGCTTGGCTTTCAGACAGTATGTAAAGGGTGTTCTTTTTCCTAGTGTTTTGTTGTGTTTTTTTTAAGCTTGTTTAAAAATACATGTTTTCACTATCAGCTCTCAAGTCATAAAATCTTAAAATTCTGGTAAGTTAAACACAGGTCATTACCAGGTATCTTACAGAAAGAAAAAATATGTAATGTACAAGACTCCACTTGCTTCTGAAAGGGCAAGAAAATAATTGGGCATGTTGCCCTCTGTCTGTGGGTTATATAGTAATTTTAACTATTGTCTTCATTTCTTAACTCAGTGCTCCACACATAGCAAAACTCATAGTAAGGGAGGGGACTACATATATAACTTCCTTATGATTTTTATTCTCTTTGGAGTCCCACTGATAATTCAACTTTCTCTTTTGAATTTCACTGCCTTCTCCCCACTTCTAAAGTCAACAGTATCCTGATAAGCTCATCAAGCAATAGTGTGTTTGTAAAGATTCACTCCAGTGACAGGATAAATTATTGCACATTTTCTGCATTAAACATAAAATGTAATAATTTCAATGGAGTGAGAAGAAGAATCAATAGCCTTTATGACTGATTATCTTTTCTAACTGAATCAGAGTTTAGTGCTTTTTGGTAAGTTGAATGCATCTTCCTTGATTCTGAGAAATCAGAATTTTGCCTAAAATTCACAAGTATTTTGCAGAGTAAAACATCATCTTTTCAGCATTGGGAAATTCTATAAAACATACACAAATTAGCAGGTGCAAATGAATAAAAATGCTTATCAGCAATAAGGCACAGGATGTGCAACACCTTTATGAAAGAGAGAATAAAAAGACGACCATTATCTAAATATATTTCTAGTAACACGTGACTTTGCTCACTTTTCAATCTTTCACTGCCTCTTCTATAATACCAATGCCTGCTCCCAACCACTTTAAGGTTACTGTTTACAAAATGTTTAAGATTCAGTTCCACAACTCCATTTTTATGCTAACAATAAGGTATTGATTTAATTCTTAAAACATTCCTGAGAGCACTTCAATAAGGCATTTTAATACACTACACAGAGAAACTTCTTTGTCATCAAGAAACGGGAAAAATCTAGGACATATCCCTTTCTTTTTAGGCCAGACCCAAAGTAAGTATAACCATGTCACTGTGCTTCCATAAACTTCAAGACCTATAATGGAATTTGCCCATGTATCCCATTAAAGCAGTCTAAAGTGTAGACATGCACCTGTTTGGTATATGTTTATTTAATCATGGGGAAAAATGCTTTACTTAAAGCAGTCCCCATATTTGTATTATGCAAATTCCATTACAAGCAAAAGTTTTGAGAAAGGTAAATTTAAAATGGATACAAATAAAAAGGAAACTCAAAGTCACATATGCTCCAGTATACACAAGTTTAGAATCATTTTCAGACCATATCTATGACAACACTACATTTATAGCTATCAGTCTTACTGAAAGATGAATTACAAAAAGAGGGAAAAAGATATTTGCTCTTCACCTAGGAAAGATAGCCAGCCAACATACACAAGGAATACTCAGAAGTAATTAATTGCTAAAAGTTTCCTTTATTCAATGTGATCATCTTTCATTCCTATGGAGGGTAACCATAAGTCATATGTTAGGTTTAAAGATACATTAGTTTCAATGATATGATGTCTAAGGAAAACAGATAAACAGGTTCATAACTTTGCAAGCAAAAAGAAAATCTTTTTTCAGATATTGCAAATAACTTGAATAAAGTTATCTGAAGTTAAACTTGTATCTATGTTTTATCAATATGTATATGAATTATGTATATATTACACACACACATTATACTGTCTACATGTAGTAGTGCACACATACATATTACCAGATTTTTCAGAATGAATAGCGGAATAACAATGCATCCTCAGCAAACAACCTTATAATAATAAACTACCCATCATAACATACTATTACATCTACTCTATAGGTAGAAAAACTGATGCTGAGAAGTTAAAAGATTTACCGAAGGTCTTAAAAGCACATTAGGAGACACCATCATTATAATGCTGAAGATCTTCACATTCATGACTTTCTGAATAGATTTTCATTGCTATTTTTTATTTAATTACTTAATATTATCTATAAGGTATTTTGCAAACTCTATTCTTTAAAAGATGCTATGTACTTAACGCTGAATGAGGCAACTAAAGTGAGACACAAGCTCCGTCTGTTGAATAATAGGTCCTTGCCTTTTTTTTTTTTTTACTATGCTTCTAAAATTTGAATGAAAACTCTATTTACTTGGTTTATATGGTTCTTCTACTTAAGTGTTTAAACTTCAAAGTAAATTATCCGAATTAATCTTATTAACTTATCATAATAAATTGCATTATTCTCATTTTATAGGTGAGAAGCCAGGCACAAGGAATAAGGCTATCTGCCGTGGGTCACACGCTAAGTGTGAGGGAGGTCTGGAGTTAGAACATGTTATGTTCTTGGCTGAAGGGCAAGATTGTTCGTATTAATCATCTTATTCCAAAATCACTTGAGGAAGCACGCAATTTTCTGAAGCAGAGGGGAAAACATATCCTGAAAGTTACAAGTATAAAGGAATACATCAAGAGTTTTGATTTCACTGTACTTACATTATAATTTACTACAATTTAAGTTTTAAAAACTATTCACATATCTCATTACTTTAGTACCATGAATCAGAGGCTCTGTTGACTGAGACACTATTTGCCCACAATTAGTCTCATGCTTTTATAGGAGAAATATAAGCTAAGAAATAAAATTAAATGAGGAAGATAAACATTGGTTCCATGTTGAAATGTATTTGATGGCATGGAATTTGCAAGACAAGACATCAATTTTCAGCCTAGCAGATTACAGAATAGGATCCATGAATCCTAGTCAACGTTGAACACTTCAGAGGAACAAGAACATGACATCTGAGGGCAAGTAATGCATGGGAATGCTCATGATGTGTTCCTAGAAAAGCTGAAGAAGAGAATGAACTAAGTCCACAAGTTAAAACAACAGTAAATAACCAGGCCTTTAGCCTCTCAGAATAGATGAAAAATATAACCAGAAACATCTTCTAACCATTGCTAAATAGCTAGAAAACTGTGCTCTCCAAGTAGGGTTAGGTATGTAAACAAGTGCTAACAGATTGATACAGGCTTTCTGCTTCCTACGAAAACTAAGGTTTCACGTTGAAAACAGCATAACCAGCACATTCCTAATTATATGCATTTTTCCAGGTTGCAATGTGGCAGCAAAAGTACAAGTAAGGAAGACGAAGAGTTGTCATATTAATGAGACATACCTCTTGTACTGAGCGAGCTGCTGGCTTGTCTTGATGATTGGCCAATATTAAAAAGGGTAAAGTGCATAACTGTGGATGCTGAAGAGCTGAGTGCAGCTCATTTCTAGCAGCTTCTAAATCATCCTCTGAAGAGGCACTGTCTAATACAAATATTACCCCTTGAGATCCTTGGTAGTAGCGGCTCCAGTATTTCCGGATATTATCAGCCCCTGTCAAAAACAAAACAAATTTTCGTTTTAAAAAGAGCTTTTCAGCAACGTTCCCAACAGTAATTTCTACTGGAAACCAATGTATCTTTTAAAAATTAAGTGCTAAACTCTGTGGTATGGATTAAAACAGGAATTTAGAAAAGTCAGAGATCACAGTGGATAGGAACAAAGAAGGCAGTAGAGCCAATAGGCAGATTTGGCCTTGAACGAAGACACAGTATCTAAGCCATTCTTAATGACTTTTATATAAAAATATGTGTGAGAGAACCAGGATAAAACCTCCTAGACTTAAACTCAAAAAAAAAAAAAAAAATTCAGACTTTAATAGTCTCAAATGAACTATACTCTCTACAAATTGAGACTGAATCTGACCCAGAGAGCTGCATGACCTAGACATCCAACAAGGCTTCTTTCCAAACCATTAATATTACCTTGGTGATATTTTTTAACAGAACTGCTTGCTGATCAGGACAGCCTTGTTTAATTTCACCTAGAGAGCTATTAGCACAATAGCTCTATGTGTCAAAGTGCTAAAGGTTGTGAAAAACTAAAATCATGGCCTTTGATACATTTGTATGAATCTGGCTTCATAACTCATGAGGAAAAATAACAGACGACAAGAGTGCACTTATGGTCTCAATACGATAAGATGTTTATTAAAAAATATATATATATGGAGAGGCCGGGTGTGGTGGTTCACACCTGTAATCTCAGCACTTTGGGAGGCTGAGGCAGGTGAATCACCTGAGGTAAGAAGTTCAAGACCAGCCTGGCCAACATGGTGAAATCCCTTCTCTCTTAAAAATACAAAAATTAGCTGGGCGTGGCCTTGGGCACCTGTAATCCCAGCTACTTGGGAGGCTAAGGCTGAGGCAGGAGAATCGCTTGAACCTGGGAGGTGGAGGCTGCAGTGAGCCAAGATCGTGCCACTGCACTTGAGCCTGGGCAACACAGCGAGGCACCATCTCAAGAAAAAAATTAAAAAAATAAAAAAAAAAAACATGGAGAATCTCGTCTGCCAAGGCATGTCATGTATTATTCCTCTTTGTATTTCCATTATATAGCACAACACCTAACTCAAACTTCAGTACTGGAATGATGAAAATTGAGGGAATGAGGGAGTAAAAGTATATACTAATTAAGCTTTACAAATTTGAGACTAGAACTCTAGAGATTATTTAGTCCAACTCTCTGAGGAAACTGAGGCAGAGAGAGGTAAAGTAAGTGATCCCTTGTCATGTATCTAATAAATCACAAAATTGGGATTTGCATGAGTTGGTAGACAATCTGCCCAGGGAAGGCACAGGCATTTCCCATTATATCACGGTGACTGCTTTCATTACTTTCATTCAAGAATAGGAGGGGCAATATGTGTGCATGTGTAGAAAAGGGGTGCTACTGGTTACATAACGACAATTAGATTTCACAGAATTTCACCAATTTATTGCATATGATCAAGTCCTAACCAGTTAATAACTGTATTTTAGTCATTCACTGAACATCTAGCTCCTATGTTTGACATACTATGTTATGTGTTAGGGAAACAGTGGGGACTGGAGTTGGTGTGGCCTGGCTGGCAAGGGTCACCTGTTTGCTTCTCTTCCCAACTCTGTGCTCAGTGACATCCTGTTGGTAGCTTGAAATCAATCAGGGTGAAAGTACTGTCACTATGGAAATCAGCAAATCCTACATATCAAGTCTGTTCCTCTCCCAGAGAGCTAACACACCACTGGTGACACTGAGCAGCTTATATTTTCTGGGAGAAATAGAAAAGAAAACTCTAAGATTATAATAGAGTACAATGAAGTGCTGTCATAGAGGCACTCATTAGGTCTTCTGGGAGCAAGAGATAGGCATTTCACCCAAAATGGAGCAATTCTTTTTTAATTTCATTTTTTAAATTTGAGATGGGTTCTCACTATGTTGCCTAGGCTGGACTCAAGACTCAAGTGATTCTCCTGCATCAGCCTCTTGGGTAGCTGGGACTAAAGGCACACACCACGGTGCCCAGAGGGGCAAATGTCTTGAAAGAATAACATCAGTAGCCAAACAGCTCCCATTTATTAAGCACTTCCTATCTTCCAGGTACTAAGTGTTTTAAAAAGAAAAGCTCATACAATTCTTATAACAATCTAAGGAGGGAAGTATAATTGACTAAGGCTTTGAAACCAATTTTCAGGTCCTAAAATCCGTGATTTCACCATTATACTACACAAAAATAACTAGGTATATATTTAATAAGAGGATCAAGGACATTTGATGTTGAGCAATGTTAAATATGTGAAGACATGGGATATGAGCAGGGTTGATGCATATCAAGCAGGGTCCAACTAAGAAAACAAAACAAAAATAAAGAGGGAATGTAAGCCAGAGATCATTTAGTGTAGGGAATTAGTGGCTTAGGTGGGGGTGGAACTAAGAAAACAGCAGGGGTACTGAGATAAGCAACATCTTAGGTCAGGTTCCCTAGACACAGAGCCTGAGATGGCATTTCTTGTACACCTGATTTAGAGGGAGTGCTGTCAGGAGAAACTAGAAGTGAAAGAAGTAGGCTAGAATGGGAGAAGAAGCTAGGCAGAGACATTGTTTCAGAAATCTAGCCTCAGCTTGATGCGATGAGGAACTCTACAGCAAGGATTGAACCACAGAAGTTGTCTAGTCCAAAGGCAAGGGGGCTGGGCTATTACACCCTTGTATAGTCATTAGCCACCCCTGGGGAACAGGAGGGGGATGGGGCATGATCTTATAATCTCCCAAACACATTTGGTTGGGGCAATTATTGTCAGCCAAGGGCAGGCCTCTGGAGAAGGGTACAGGTGTGAGTCATTACCAGCCAATACTCGCAGCAGCTGGGAGATGGATGCACTGGCCCAGTAAAGGAGGTCTGGGTAGGAAACCAATAGCATCTGGTACAGGCTACATCCAGACACTACCCATATGCTCAAGAACCATCCATAAGCTGGAGGGACAAAACTGGAGGCAGTGTTACCCGCTGGTAAGTGTTTAAAACAACAAAAATAGTGTGCATGTGTATCTGTACACAAGCTTGTTATAAATTTCACTAACACAAAGGATGTGCAGCGCACAGTTTTCATAATAAGAATCAATGCAGCATGCTTTATTGTAAATTCCACATAGCCAACGAATGCCCACAGAATGCTTTATTGAGTTTGCATCCATAGCCAACTAATGGCTGCAACTGACCAACTAGTGTAGTTCTGACATGAATGGTGGCTGCTCAAAGTGCTTTATGTATATTAAATCACTTACCCATGACAGTCTAATGACTCTCATGAGGTAAATACTGTTATCAATTTCATTTTATCAACAAGGAAACCAAAACACAAAAAGATTATGTAACTTGTCCAAGATTACACACCTAATAAATGCATTTAGGTCTAATGTGCTCGAAATAGAGGTCATAGACTAAAAAGGCAATGAGGCTAAATAAAGAACTATATTACCACATAAACTAGGAGAAAAGAAATGGAACCCTATTGGAACAAAAGGTAAGTAAATGCCTACATACATTAATGGAAATATGTCCAAAAACATTTCCCAACTGGTTAATTCAATGGATAGTTATTAAGTACCTATTCCATCCATACAAGTCTCTGAGCTAGGACCTAAAGAGATATTTAGAAAGCCATTATTCCTCTTAACTGAAACCATCAAATCCTGTAAAGTAATACAAATTACAATGAGGCCTGCAAATACAGCAGGCAGAGCAAATATGTCCACACATTAGATGGTGTCCAGTGAGTCAGATATAAAGAGAATTTGGTTGCATGTTTTAATAGAGCTTGTCCCTTGGAAACACAGGACACCTGGAAATTCAACTTCTGCAGTCAACTCTTTCAATGAGAAACTATGTTTTCATTTGCCACATTTATGAGTACATATGGTACCTGAAAATAGTGAGACACACACAAACACACACACACACACAAACCCAAAGAGAAATACCGTAACTTTAAAAAATGTCCCTTATATGACATAATGTATGAATAATATGTTAATAGTGAAAAGACCCTTTTCTTTAATCTCCTGCCCAGTCTCGTGCCCAGTCTTAGCATTCCTTTCATCATCAACACTGAACTTGGAATTCTAAATTCCCATTTTTGTCTTCTGCACATGGCTTTGGTCAGCAGCAACCTAACCCATACTGAGACCAGGGCACTTCACCAGCAATGAGGTGAAGAGTGGTATGCAGTTATTCAGTCCAGCTTAGAGGGCCATGGTTTAGTCACCAGATTAAAATAAAAATTGGCTGTGTCATCAACCCAGCTGCCGGCTGTTTTGAGGAGTGAGCCTAACTGGGAAGGTTAGGGACACCTGTCTGATGCCCACATTCTCAATCCTCAAACCAAATCCAAAAGAAGTAACAAACACAGGAAGTGACGTCTTACAGCAGGCTAAGGCCACTCTTAGTATAATGACTGAAAATGCCATGCTCTGTGTCACTTAAATTACAATTGCAACATAACGTGGTTAAAGAGCAAACTCAAACCTTGTCTATGGTTTGTACAGTTAGATTAAAAAGCAAAGGGGTTAGTCCTAACAGTAGTGGGGCTGGGTGAGGGTGGTACCAAATGTCCTAATTATACATCCAATGTTGCCTCACTAAAAGTTGGAATAAACACTTGGGAATCTAAGCTCATCAGGAGGGCCAACCAGGAGAGTCTGGCTCAGGGTACCACAATAAGAGTAGAGGGAGGACACAGGAGCATAACAAGTCCTCACTGTGTAAATTCATTTCTGTGGCACACTATAGATGTTAACAACATCCTCTCATTATTCATTAATACATCCATCCAACAGATATTTACTGAGCACCTGGCACCATTCTAGGTGCTGAGGAAACAGCAGGAAACAAAACAGAGAAAAATTTCAGTCTTTATACTGCTCACAGCGAAGCCAGCCTATCATCATAGAGGCTGAAAATCCCAAGTACTCATCTGGCCAACTGAGACCTAACAAAGGTCTGCAAAGGTCTGTGG